TGAAGCAAATGTCGCCATTTTCCCATATATTTATACATTATTATTATTATTATTATTATTACTCATTTGTTAGTAAATCCCAAATGCTTTTTGAATGCATTTTATTTAACAAAATACTTAAATAAAGCATAACTTTTGTTATATAATTCAAGTTAAATGTGATAAGAATTGTTCATTAGTTGATATTCACAGACATTCCTAACAAATATAGTAAATCTAATTATTTAATGCAAGAAATATAAGAAAAACAGTCAAATGTTTGTTAAAACAGCAACAGTTGAATGTTTTAATTATTTGCACAATAATACTCTATTACTTGTGTATATATATCACTCACTCATTCGCTCATTCGCTCACTCACTCACTCACTCACTCACTCACAACTCATTTTCAAGTTTTTGAAGTTCAATAGACTTTAAATAAAAATGCTTTTTGTTTGGAAATTCAATAAAATATTGGATAATTTTTTATTTAAAAATTTCAATTTTTATAGTTTTATATTCAACGAGAAATTCAATACATATTTTTATCGCTTAAACATTAGTAGAAATATAAATAATTCTTGCGTTGAATATCTCTAATGTAAAGCATTATAAAAGAGAGAGAAAGAGAGACATAATATAAAAGACAACAACACATAAACTATATTACTTCACATTATCTACTATTTTGAATATTTTGTTGTTTGCGACTACAAGAAGACCACATTTTGTGTGTGCGAAGAAAAAAGTGCTTTTCGTCCAAAAGTTAATGTGTTTTTCATGTCATAAAACAGAGACTGATATGAAAACGAAAAGCTGTCTCTCGAGAGACACCAAAAGTTAAAGAAACCAATTCTGCAAATACTATATGAATATAAATGTATTAACTTTTGATATGTTTATATAAACACATAATTCTCTGTATTTTTGTTGCATTTTTATGCAAAATATTATATAAAAGAAATTTGGTTTTAATTGTCATAAATTTAGTTAAATTATAGACAAAAATGCAATGATTTTATCAATAATTAGAAAAAATAAAAAAGAAGTAAAACGAGAAAAATTGATGGTTTTTATTAGAGATTAGACTTCTTAGTCTTCAAGAGTGTGGAAATCAATGCAATAATTGCTTAAAGTGATGATCACGACCAGCGATACCCTCTCTTTGCAGACATTATTTGTTTCAACAGTTTTTCGATATTTTGTTCTCCAGTTCTGTAACAATGCTATGACTTGAATGACTGACTGTTCACTCATTGACTCTCCTCTCACTCCCCTCTCTGTGAGATCATTAGTTTGTTGGCAGCACTCAATTTGTGCGGTCACATACATGCATAGACTCTCACAAGTGTATGCCCTGTGCAATGGTTGGCGACTATATTTAGCATCGTTCACATAATATACACACTGAGCTCAGGCATACCATTCAATGGAGTGCCTCCTGGGCTTACAGATAACAAGAGCCAAAAGCATCGCATAGTTATCGGGAATCGCACTCTTTCTGAGCCATATTTTAATACATTTTAAAGAAAATACATTTATTGTGTGCTTCTCTGATATCTCTTCGCAAATATTTCTTACAATTTCTATGTGTTTCCCATCGAAACAAAAAACAACATAAAACTTATTTTCATTATATATCACATAATCTTTATATAAATAATGCAAACGTGAATCCATTAGAAAATACGCCTCCGATTATTCATTTCTCTGTTTTCAAAATAATTTCTGACTTGAATTGTATTGTTTTACAAAAAGACAAACTATTAATTAAAGTTATTAATTAACAAATATTTTTATGCAAATTGTATTCTAATTACTACTGAGTGTTGATTATGTCATCAGATTTTGTGAATATAAAACAACTTTTATTAATAATAAAAAAATGTATAATTTATCAAATCTAATGCACAAACAGATGCACTAAAAAATGTTATATCTATTACACTAATAATTTATTCGGTTTTATTTAAATATTTGATTGATTAAATATATCTTAGATTTCACTTTCAATAACAAAGTTTTACGTAAATCTAATCCTTTGACATATAATAAGAATTTAATAAATTCAAAGAAAATGTGTTTTCAGTAATAATTAATTATTTGTTTTTCAATTATACAATAAATATAAATATAAATACATTTTATATGAAAGTATGAGTCTATGATTTATTAATATTACGTCCCTCAATCCAAGCAATGCTTTTCAATACCGTAACTCAAGTTTCTTACTTTAAAACTAATTAAAATAATTTAAATCTTTATAAATCAAACAAAATGTATATAAAAATGAAAATTAAGAAATTTAAATGCAATTTGTGTTTCACTTTAAAAAATCATTGATTTTTGAAAGTATTCTTCAGATAAACAAAACTATAATAAAACTAAACTAAATTAAGTTATATTAATATTAATTCTTAAGATCTGTTGAATTGTGTTAGAAATTCATTGCTTTTATTTTCATTATCAATAATGTTATAAATACAGTATTTTTTATCAGTTATGAAATCTTATTTTCAAATAACTTGAAAATTAACATTAATTTCATAATATTTCAAATCGTTTAGAAAAGTGAATCATTAAGTGAGTGAAAGTAACAAAAAAATTGTATCTTTATTATGAAATTAATTAAGATTTCACACATTTTCATGTAAATGCAGAACAAAAACAACAAATACTGTATTTTTGAAATAACAATATATAACTATTATTACAAAAGTGTTAAATAACTTTTAAATAGCAGACGAAAACGGCTTTTAAATGGAAATACATTTCCAATTTTTTGTTGCAATTATAATAATAATTATGGACTGAAATGTGGACTAAGAGTTCTTTAAGGCATAAATAATATTAATTTTGCAAATATTTATTAATAATTATATAATAAAACTAGAAATTGGTTGAGTAGTTGTTAAATATTGAATAATTATAGTAAATGTTTTCAAACAATATAAGAATATGTTATGATTTTTATGTTTTGTTTTAGAATTCGTATAATTAGTTGTGTTTTTGTATATATTTTGTTAATATTTTAATAATAGGATTGTAATAAACATTAATTCATTTAGTCTTCAATTAGTTGGTAATGGATTTGATAATAATATATTTATAATCATATTATGATCTGAAATATCAACCATAAGTTCTCATCATTAGTGAGGGGTTAGAAGTCTCTCGAAGTTCAACAATCAATAGCTTATGTGAAATACAATAAAATGTTTGTTCATTTGTTTGTTTGAAACATCGTTTATCACGAAATTTAAACGAAAACAACGAGAGTTAGTGCCGTTTTGGACTACAACTTGTTGTTCGCCAATCAAACGCAAACTGTTTGGATGTCATATTTCTTTGACAGACAATCTCTGCATTAATTACAGTATAAAAGAATTGAAACTAAGACTGCATTCAATTTGATAACAAATGCAATGATAAGAAAATATTTCATTCAAATAATAATTGGTTTGAAAATCAATTTCAACCTATCATTGAATCTTTGAAATTGATTTCTAATGTTATTCAATGATATATTAAATAAAAACGATATATTTAAGGATCAATTGACTTTCTAATCAATTTCTATTAATTTCTGACTTTTATTATTCTCTGATATTAAGTAAACAAAACCTCGTTTTCTTTATTTTTCAATTATTTCAATCACTTTTGGAAAAGTCATTCGTAATAATCGTTATAATTAATGATTATTTGAATCAACGACAGAAAAGACGTTAAATAATTAAATTTATGAATAATTATAAGCAGTTTTATAGCAAACCTTATCTTCTAATCAGATGAATATGTTTAATACAAAATTTGGAAAATTAAATACTATTTCGAGTCCATTAAAACCTTTTATTTAAAACACAGATGAGTGAGTGAGTGAGTGAGTGAGTGAGTGAGTAGGGGAACAACATTAAACATTTATGAGAGTAAATACAGGTATTAATTATATCATTTGAATAGTTTTGCTAAATGTTTAGAACCATTAAAAATTATATACAAATTTAAGTCTTTTTTTAAATAATAAATTCTTTGCAAAAAATAATGAAAGAGTGCCCTTTGGGGAGAGGGAGACAGATATTGGATTCAATTTCTGAAAAGATATTTTTAAAGCTTTATCTGTCTCTATATATAAAATTAGATCAAATGTATTTTAAGGCATTTACTAAATCACTTATAAAATAATTGCCATTTTTCTTAAAATAATACATAAATGTTAAGAATAAGATTAAATGTGAGATAATATTAATATTAAATTTATTCCAAATAAAAAATCTTTAAAATATAGTTCACAAATGACTAAATAAATGACTAAATAAATAACTAAATAAATAACTAAATAAATAACTAAATAAATAACTAAATAAATAACTATAAAGATAAAATACGTATTTAATAAACTTACAATAAATTTAATTAATTTTAATCACTGCTATTAATTCATATTTTATGTAAAATATTTCAAATAATTATCGAAATTATTTCCAAATTTATTACTTTTGTCAAAATATGTGTTTCTCTGAACTTTAATATTTGTAAAAATCTATTTTTTATATCAAATATGTATTATTTAATGCTTTTAATGACTAACAAAAACTAGATTTTATGTAAACATTAATTCATTTGTTATTTTAAAGCATTTTGTATATAAAAACTTGAATTTTATGACACAATAATCTAAACTCAGACACAATTTTAGTAAAGGTGTTGTAATCTAATATAAAACAGGATCACAAACAGTAGATCTAAATGAACAGCACTTGTACTGCAAATCAAACTTATTTTCAGCATTTTTGGTGCAATTATTTGCTGAACAATGCCTTCAAACCAACGAAACACTTGTTTTTCTCAAATGTTTGAAAACAATTAAATATTTTGTTATGAATTGCAGACAAAAGTTCATAAAATATTATCCCAAATAAGAAATTAGCAAAAAATACGCCATTCTATGGCTTATTAATAATTGAAAGCAAGAAAAACACATAAATATTAGGGAAACAAACAGATATAGACTGGACTGACCTCATGTTGCTTTAATAATAGATTTTCCCGTAATTGTGACAATTGTTCAATCATTTCGTTGAGTTTTCTTTCGGTGTGAGTCACGACTTGGGGGTCGCCATCAGCACAAAGTGAGGCCAAGTTTTCCACCAAATTGTTGGACGCATCGCCAGTTCCTCCTCTGCTAAACAAATGTTAAACAGTTCTTTAAATTAATTCAAAACTGATTTCCAACTGAATTAATGAATTGCAAAACAAAGTGTGGGGTATTATAGCTATTATTATACCTTTGTTTGAAATGATTGTTGTTTTTGTTTAATCTGTTGAGCACTTCATCGATCGACCGCTTATTTAGTTTCAGTTTTCGTCTCTTTTCCGTCGATTTCGATGAATTAGCACTGCTTTCGCTCTCGTATTCCGAGTCAGTGGTCGACGCTTCTGATGTCATCATAAGATAACTGTTAATAATGTTGTTATTATTGTTGCCGTTATTGCCGTGAAGTCTGTTGTGTTGTCTGTCTTTAGTGTTGTTGACATCATTTGTTCCATTGAAACGATAGTCTTCGGGCTGAGCGTCGACATCGATATCACTTTCGTCATCACATGAAATATGTTTGTCTGAACTGTAATCGTCGTCTTCTTCTTCTTCGTCGATCTTTTGGTCATCAATTTGTGGCGCAATTTTGTTTGGAAACGATTTACGTTTTGCTGACATTTTTGCCAATTATTTCAAACTATAATTAAAAGTTTGTTTTAATTGTTTTCTAACTTTCAAACAAAACATTATTAATTATTATTATTTATTGCATTCAAAAATAAATTGCAAATAATTTTGGAGAAAATGTGCGAATATTTCAAAAAATTATTTCAAAATTCAAAAATACACACAAAACACAAGATTAAGAGAAATGACTTTAAATTCCTCAACAATGAGTGGGAACTACTGAACAACACTTAAATGAATGGTTTGTCAGATGAGAGAACATGAGGTATAATTTGGCAGAAAAACCAATAAATGTCGAGTTGTTGGCCTTACTTTGTGGTGAAAACAGTTTGCAATTTATCCGATTGTTTCACAAAAAGATTCTCAAATCTCAACACAAATGACAAATTCATTGTCAAATATAAAGCAATTTTGAGTCAGAAAACAGTTTTCTTACAATAAATTTATAACAAATAGTGTTAAGTCTTAAGCGTCAAAACAAAGAACAAAAATACTAAAAGAAACAAAAAGTTTGTGGAAATATATGAACTCTTGAATGGGTTTTGATTTCCAAATATACCGTAAAACAAGTGAATTCAATTGAAATACGAAAAATACTTTGTTTTAAGTGTCGTTTAAAACATACTTTATTTTTATTGTGATTTAGACTTAAAAAATAAGATAAAACTATAGAAAAATCAAAGCGAAAAGTGTTTTCAACTGAACCGACAATAAGTTTTAAAAAGCAGTTGAAAATGGATTTCATTCGATGTTTGACTCACTTTTGGCTTAAAATTGGTTTCAATAAAAGTTGAGTAATTTTAGCGACTCTTTGATGTGTAGATAATTGAATGGACGACGAGTGAGGAAAGGGAGGGATAAGAGCTCTGATAAGACAGTTGTTATCTTTGAAACAATGACTGTATTGTGATTTGGGATGCATTTGAAGCCAATATATGGAGAGAAGCACTCAATCATTGATAAAGTAATATATTATTTGTTGAAATGCATGAATTGGTTGTATATTAGCTATTATGACACACTATAGCCGTGTCCGATCACAAGTCGACCAAAAAGTGGTACAATATCTACAATATATCAGTGACTAATGGTTTGCGAACACAACTACTGTTTTATTATTATAGGAATTCCTGAACCGCTCTCCCAATCGCCGATTCCATTGATATGTCAAGTGATGTGAGGCCAATGCGTCTCTAGTCTTGACAAAAGTAGTTTTGGGCACTTAAGTGGTTCAATATATCGACCACTTTCCGCTAACAGCGCGAGAGTGTCCGGTCAGGCGAAAATGAGAAATGGAGGCAACAATTGCCGGAGAAGCTCAACAACACAGCCAACACAGTCAGTCCAAGTGAATGACGAAATCAATTCACTTGTGTTTAACTGTTTTACGACTTTTGCAAAACTTATGACAAATGGTTTAATAGTTTTTGTGGTTTAATAGCATTCAAACCTATAATCAGTTGTTTTACTATAAAAGAGTGAAAATTGCTTTGTTTTGCGAAAAGTAGTGTTTGTTTAGCACTTAATTAACGCAAACTCTGGAAATCAATGAATGAATGAATGATTGAATGACGAAACAAATGGCTATTCAATGTCAGTCTCAGCTCTGGTATGTCTCGTAATTAGTAGTGACTGTTGTGTAGTGATTGTCTCCGAAATAAGACAACGAAGAGATGAGATGTGTTTGAATGAATGGATGCTCAGAGAGAGCGAGAGAGAGGCGAACGACACAGTCATCAATCATTGTCAATGAGTGCAACACATTGGTTGGGCTTTTCGCTCTTTTGGCTCTGTTTTTGGCAACAATCGCACTATTATTGATTCGGGTGAGCCCTGAGACCCAACAGCCCCATAGAGTCGGAGCTGAGTTGTCAGTCAACACAAAGTAATGGCTTTCTGTGTAATCAAATAACAATAATTTGAGGCAAAACTCAAATGAGGCAGAAATGAGGTTTTATTAATGGATTCAATACTAATCACCGAAAATATAGCGAAAACTCCAACACTTTCGTCGACTTTTAAATGCTTTCATAAATATTTCCAATATTTCTGTCTCTAATGATAGACTCTTTTGATAAATTGAAAAACGCTTTTTATAACATATTTTCAATTAAAAAATTTTATTGAGAGGCGGGAGAGGGAGGGAGGGAGTGAGCGAGAGAGAGATTGGCACAAAAGTATCAAAAGTATTAAGTATTACTTAACCGCAAACATAGCGTACAAAACAAACATTTCTAATCTGGAAATTGAATCAAACATAAGAAGCAAATTGAAAGTTTATTTAAATTAATTAAAAGAATATTCCGCGAAATATTCCGAGTTTCAGATCAATTGAGGCGTCAATTGATTTGAAATCCATATTAAATATTAGAGTATTTGTGAGGAGTTTAGGACTGCGTTTGAGGACTGCGTTTGAGGACTGAGTTTGAGGACTTTGAATGTTTATTCAAGTGTTTTCACATCCGTTGAAATCAATTCATAAATTATTATCATTTAATTGAAAACATAAGAATATGATGAGTGAACTGTTCTCTTAAGTGTTATATTATATCTGTATTTGAGATAAAATCAAACACTTGTATAGAATGAGAACAAAAAGTTATAAATATTATAAAGCGTTTGATTCATTCAACACTGAAAACAGTATAATCGATGTCTAAGTGTTGCAAATGTTTTCATTATTTGCTGACAAACTCTTAACAAACAGTATTTATCTGTTGTTTAACACAATATCTCACAGTATTATTGGATATCTTGTTTGGTTTGCAATCCTTTGGAAGAGATATCAGTTTTTTATTTTGCATTATAATGTCTTTTCAGGGCCTTTATATTCGACTTGTTTTGTAATGCATTTTATTTATGGTTTTCTTTTGATTAAAATTTATATCGTCTCTCTCTCTCTCTCTCTCTCTCTCTCTCTCTCTCTAGAGTCAGACAACACCAGTCAGACAATCTTAGCCCAGATATAATACCCCCCAAAGTTTTTTGTGATTCAAATCTCATTTTTATATTTTTAGCTAAAATTTCTTTAGAATTTTGCTTTGCTTTGACTTTTGCCCCAAAACTGCATAAATGATTGTTTGGAATAAAAAATTTCTTAAAAGCAAAGAATTTAATGAAATATATTATTTATGGTATAATATGTGTGTATTATATAACCAAAGACAACGCTGTAGAGCAACTATTTCGACCAAAAACTTATTCAAAGCCTCGGGTGACAGTCAGGGTCGCTCTTGAGTCGACTGACTATAGTATAGAATGCATTACTATAGCCATAGCTATGACTCTGAAAGACAGAAAACATAATAATTTCCAGCCTTTCATCAGAATTTGAATATTGACTATAGTTTTGTAATAAATTAATTAATAAGAGATTATTAGTTGGCATTCAATACCCAAAAGAACACAAACTCGTTATGAATTATCGACTGATATAATGCAGAACTGAATCAAAGCAAACGTCGTTTCGCTAATAGTTTCTACAAAAAGCCGCCTTTATTTGAGACACAAATATAATCAATAGTAGGGGGCGGCAGGCATTCACTGTTTATATAAGAAGACATAACCACATATGCATTGATATGTGATTATGTGATCTCTCGGTTGCTAACAATCTGTTGCCATGAGTTGTTCCCCATCTCTAAGAGAATGTTTTCTTTTGGTCGTATTTTTTGTTAAGAAAAAACAGACAAAACTGTAATCTAACTAACATTCCTGAGTCTGACATTCCCTCTGACATGCAGTCAATGCTTAATATCCTCTAAAATACTCTCGATTTACATGTGTTTTATGAAATTTCATTATTCATCCAAAATTAATAATAATTTTCATTCAAAGACTGAAACTTTGTTTAAAAAGAGATATAAAGTAATGACAAAAGTCTGGCGAAAACTCAACAGAAAAGGAGTGAAGACTATAGCAAATCACGTATTGGTGTTGTTGTTGTGCACAACCATCTGGAAAATGTATTGAGAGCTCACATTACTTGTCTTTTTGACAATTATTTCATTTAATATCTCTGTCTTTCTGTCTATCGTTCTCTTCATTTTCTGCGCAACTATTAATCGCGTTTTTCGCCTCTCATTTGACTTGATTTTCTGCCTCTATATCAATGTCTCCAACAATTGCTGAAAACAAACACAATATTCATTGCTTTTTATTTGATATCAGTTTTAATGGCTTTTTTGTTGGAATTTCTAAACAACTGATTACTATTCTCTGCAAAAATACATTTTATCTTTTCTTTGATTATTAGCCTTGGATTACAATAACACAGAGTTTTGAGAAAAAAAGTCACAATTTATTCATCAAAAGGTGTGAAAAATATTAATAAACTCAAAGACAACTGAATCTCAACTAAATCAGGAATTTTCATTACATTTTCATATTTCCGACCAATAATTTCGTTTAAACTCATTCATCACTTTGTAGTTAAAGAAGTTCATGTTTGGCATCAAATCTAAGCAAAATCTGAGCACTTGTAAGCACTTCCAACCAATTCCAAGCATTTCCATGCATCGCGCGCACCCAACACACAACTTTGCTCACTTAAAGCATACCTGAGCCCAAACTGATCGCTTGGTTGCACAATACACGGTCAGTACAGACACGAGTCGAGTCGAGGGGAGGGAGAGAGAGAGAGAGAGGCATTTGTGCGAATAATCCAATTTTCATAACAGATAGACCAGAGAAAGGTGTAATTAATTAGTGTTTTGCCGTATTTGCACAGGTATTGGAGCTACAAGTGCTCAGCAGATGATTATGACTGATGTTTTGCTCTTCGAATCAATTAAACCAAGTTTTCGTTCAATTCTATCAAAAAATCAATTAGTTTTGAGACAAACAATGAATTCAAACCAAAGTTTGGTTCAGAATTTCAAGTATTTATGATTCGATTTTCGCGACAAAAATCAAATTATTGTCAAAAGAAAGCGAAAGTTCGGACAATCGATCGGTCGGTCTATCGGTTGCGGAGATATTCCGGTCATGACTTGTTTGATATGCAGTGAT